TATAAATAAATCAGCAAAATATGTCACCCTACCACCAGAGACGTTCAACGATAGAGTATCGTCTTTTGTTTGTTGTAACAGTTTACTGTCCCTTCCCCTTCCACCCCCACATCACCCCCAAAACACACACACTCACACACACACACACACACACACACACACACACACACACACACACACACACATATACGTTATTAGTGATAACATACAGCTCAACTGACATGACGATAATTATAAGATTAGAGCAATAAGATGATTGCGTAATGGTGACCGTTTTACCTTGTGAAGTACGTGAAGTACGTGGCAGCGCCGGGGCGCTTTTCCCTTTCGTCAACCCGCAGCCACCTCCCGAATCGTCAACCACCCCCAACCTTTGACACGGGTCAAACTTCCATCTATTTATAGGTAGTTAAATCTACCGGAACATGTATTAGGCGAAGTGATGTGCAATGATAGTCGCAATAGAGAGATTGTTTTGGTCTCTTTTTACTCATCTGCACCACACGAATTTAATTGATGTTTTTCCCTGGACTCTGCCTTTACTAAAGTCTAGTATTAATCTAATTGCAGGTTGCAGATTTAATAAATTGCTGAGAGAGAGAGAGAGAGAGAGAGAGAGAGAGAGAGAGAGAGAGAGAGAGAGAAGGGGGAGGAGTAGATCTTGCGAGAACTCTCGGGCAAAACAAAATGGCGACCCGCGTAGTTCGGTCGATTCGAAAAGTGAAAGAGCCATGCATCTTTGTAGACGATCAAATTAGCTTTCTTTTGTGCTATAGCGTCATTTTTTTCTTTGCTTTTGTTAATTTGATCACCCACACCGATAGAAAGCATTTCGAAATTAGGAAAAACAGGTCTTGTTTCTCACTCGGTGAGAATAGCCAACGCTGGCAAATCTCACCCGGGGTGAGAGGTCAATCGTTGGGTTTTTATTCTCACCCCGGGTGAGGATAGCCACTTCCTTACTTAAATGATTAGGTGATTAAACTTGATCTCTTATTGACAATATAAAAGTATATTTAAGCTTCATTTCGTTAGAAAACACTGTGTTAGGTTTGCTAACTTCATAGACTTTGTGTTAAACAACACTTTTAACAAAACGAATCCATACAAACCTAGGCTTGGCCTTTGTAATCTCGAAGGTTTAGAAGTAGAAGCAGAAGAGTCGACTACTAGAGTCTAGTCCAATTTATATAATCTCTTGAATGTACTGGATAACAACAGAAATCTGCAACCTGCCACTAGATTACAACTCTAGATCTAGATCTAGGTTCGAGATTTTAGTAAAGACAGAGTCCAGGGAAAAACTTCAAGAAATTCTCGTGGTGATGAGTAAAGAGAGACCAAAACAGTCTCAATAAATAATATATCGCGACTATCACGGCACATCACTTCACCTGTACATGTTCCGGTAACTACCTACTACCTATAAATAGATGGAAGTTTGACCCGTGTCAAAGGTTGGGGGGTGGTGACGATTCAGGAGGTGGCTGCGGGTTGACGAAAGGGAAAAGCGCAGCGCCGGGGAACAGCGACTGCTGACGTCATTTGACCGGGGAACACCGATCGGGGAACAGAGACTAGTATTTTACCATATTTCATCGTTACAGTTTAAATTGGTATAATCTTCTTCAGTATCAAATACAGCTAGACCACATGTGTTGCATTTTGTCTCGATTTTCAAGTTTAAAAAAAAGGCTTTAAACCCTCACACTGTAGTAATGATATTGTTTTGTTTTGTTTTTAAGTATTTGGTTCCATCTTGATTAAACTTAACTTTTTGCAAAATGTCCATAAACATTTATCTGATTTGTTGGTTCCTACATCTCAATAACAGTGTCTTTTGACCAAGTCCCCTTACTGTGTACTGTAAAGTGACGGTGCAGTGTGAAGGCCTAGCAGCTGTGACGCCAGATGCACAATGCGGAGGGTGGCCACGATACATGTCTTCAAATTCAAAATTGACAATTCAAAGAAAAATGTTGCTAAGTTTAGATACATGGCATTAAACCAGGTTCCACTTGAACTACATAGCCAATTTTAATACGCTGATCTCAATAAAGAAATCAGATTTTAGCTGCGATAGTAATTTCTAAAATTCTGCAAGCAGTTTGATCCCGCACAGCGGCAAACTTCAAAACGATTCTACGTCACAGCTCGACTATCCCAATTCTAACAATAGAGGTATATAACTTTAACAAGATAGGCCTAAGTTAAAACTGACAGTCGTCCTTCCTCTTTGTGATAAGAAACTACTGCATGATGCAATGTTGATAAAATTATACAACTTCGTTTTTTTCTTTTTTTTTCTATCTTCTAAATCCAGCAAGAAAAGGAGTCACTCGAGAGTCATTTTGTTAATTTTGATACGCTGGTTCCGAATTTGACATTATTTTTACGATAGAACGTAGCATGCAATAAGTTTCTAAACAAAATGTTACTGTCGGCCGGCCGCATCGATACCATGATCAAACCACCAAGATGAGGTATTCCCTTAGCGCTGTCGCTGTTCCCAGGGCGAATTTCCCCCTGTTTTTAAAAATAGAGTCGACGTTCCCCGGTGCTCCGAAGTAGACGTATGTGCTTCATAATTAAAATTCGGAATTGGGTGCGGAGTGGGGAAGGCGGGGGGGGGGGGACGCTTTTTTTAGTCTTCATTCAAAATACCGCCGTGTTCCTCTGTGTACTTATATGGACATACCTTATTTTCTATAACAAACAAGTGAATCATACGTATATCTTTTTGTTCGATTTAATTTCAGGCATCCTTAATCCAGGTAGTTACCTTCAAAGCCCAGGATGAAGACAAAACAACAAAAGTTCCCATTCATTCGCTTCTGTCCGAAAAGCTTAAAGCTGGGCAAACAATCTCGTGGGAAAAGCAGCCTTTTCTAGTTTCTGCAATGCCACCTTCAACGAAACCTGCCACCTGCTACATTATCGATGTGAAGTATAAGCTGAATATCAAAGTTGAGGTCCCTTACGGTTTTGATCTCGAGTTTCCGCATCCGATAACAATCGCAACACTTCCGTTTCAGCCCGAGCACAAAGGTCCTGCTGCTGCGGGTCAAACAATCCATGTTCTGGGAAATGCACAGTGTACCAAAGGAGTGGAAAAGTTTTCTGGAAATGATGGCATGTTTGATATTTTCTCTTTCACGCCTTATTCTGCCTACGTGTCCGAAAAACGTGTAGCGAATAATGTGGGCACAGCTAAAAAGGCGACACAAAACCCGGCTGCTGTGAAAAGGCCACAGCCCAGTGCACCCCCTGTGAACGCCCAACCAAATGTCGGAGCTGGTGCGAGTGGAGGAACCGTGAGAGCGACATCTGCAGACCAAAGAAAAGACAAGCCTTTAGTATATCCTTCTCCTCGGCAGGAGAATGGAGCCTGCCCCACAGCTCCACCCATGTACACCGGCCCCCAGGATGCTCCACCATCGTATTTGGAAGCTATTGGGGCTATCCCATCAGGAACTGCGCCAGCCTCGGGAACCGGGAAAGGCGCCGTTCTAGTGGTCGCATTCCCAGAAAAGATAATCAAGGAGGCAAAGACTTTCTTTCTGTCTACTGAGTCTAGAACTTTAGCATCACACGATGGTCAAGTTATGTGTATAAATGTCCGTCCATTTACAAAGACGGAAAGTCTGATCCTGTGGCCCAGAAAAATGGCAATTGCCTTCCTATATTTCCAAGGTCAGACCCAAGCTGAGGCCTGGTCGAAGATGGTAATGGCAGACTCACCTGGTTTGACAAAAGAATGGGTCGTGTTTGTGGCTGAAAGTAGTAAGACAAAGGGGACGCGGCCGGATCCGAGCTTCAAGGTGTGTGAGGTGTCTGTCTCGCGCCAGCTTGTTTCCACTGACGTGTTGGTGTCGGAACTGAAGAAAGATAGCCAAAAACGATTCGTTTCAACATTAACAAAGGCCAAAGCTGGAGTTAAAAAAGTAGTCACTAACGGAAATTTTAAGTTTCTTCAAGGGGACTGGTCGTCACTGGGTGACGCAAGCTTTTTTAATACAAGACAGCCCCAACAAGATAGTTCATCAAAATGGAACGAGCAGTTAGTCAAAAAGGCAAAGGCACCATTGTCGAATGCGGAGGTAGAAACCTCTGCGTCCTCCTCATCACCGACACCGCCACCCTCCTCCTCTTCACCGTCACATTGTTCGGAAGAAGCTGAAGCCTCTCCCGGTGCCGACAAAGCTCTTGCAGAAAAAGATCAAGCCTCAGATGAGAGAAAATTCGAGGAGGAGAACGATGAAGACACAAGTGACTCAGAGAAAGCGGAAGGTAGTGGGATAGCGTACTTGGATGAGCCCATTGTCACAATGAGATTGCACCAATATCAGGATATGGACGTTTATTACAACGATTCAGAGAAGATTGTTGAAGACAATGAGTTCATGACTTGGATAGAGAAGGGCATGGAGTACATACAAATAATTACAAACGCCGTGTGTCCCTCAAAAGGCTTTTAAAAGCAATTCCCATATCTAGGAGTGACTGTAGGTGAGAGAAAAAAAACACCAGTAAGTACATGATACCATTTTACATTTATACAAGATAATGACTGCACCATTCAATAAGTCTAACAAAATTCAATGTCAAAATTGCGAAGTGATGAAAAAATGAAGGTTCCCAAGGGGAACTGGATAAAGAGGATGTCTACCTTTTGATTCAATGGGGAGACAGGAAGGTAGTCCAACAAAAATATTGTTAACAAGTTGTCGTCGTTTCTATTCTTGGCTATGCTGTGGTTCATTACAATATTGCGGTTGTTGCTGTTGTTTAGTGTGTTTTTGTTGTTGTTGTTGTTGTTGTTGTTGTTGTTGTTGTTGTTGTTGTTGTTGTTGTTGTTGGGGGGGGGGTGGGAGTTATCTGTTCCAAATGAGTTTAAGGCACTATTTGAGATTTTCAACGTTTCCAAGGAAAGTACGTGCAGTGGAATTTCGGGGAAGGGGAGGTTGTCTTCTGATTATCGGCAGATAATCGTCACAACGAGAGCTGAAGAAAGACGACACAGAGGGAAAAAACTTATTGAACTTGTTCTTCAGAGACTCATTCCTTTTCACACCTGAATGTCCAGGACAAGAAATCCTAGTGATCGTCCACAGAATTCTCTGATTGATTTCGCTAAGCCACCATTCAGCATAGATGGACCCGCACTACGCCACCCTTATGCTAACCTCAAGGACAAAGCACCATAAATATGTGTCACGACGCGGTGGAATCAGGCGCTCGTCAATTTTGGGCATGTGGAGTTATTGGTATCATCTGAAAGCTGATTTATTTGCCTTGCTTTCAATGAAATAGATATGCATCTATCTTGAATAGATATCAAAATATTTGCGATTGAGGGAAGTAGGATCACCTGGTTTCAGTTGTGAAACTAGATTGAATATGGCCGCCAAAGTTTGGTACCTCGAATAGCTAAAGAGCCTTTAAAAAGGGAAAAATGACTTATTTTGTGTCTTTAATTAATGTTTTTCAGTAAAATTCACATTGAAATGTGTTTTTATTGATTTGTCATTTTTTATTTGATTTTTTCCTTCCTCTGGTATCCTTAGGATGTCGAGGGGAGGTGCACGTTTCGGTCCTGTGCTAGGTGTGTAGCGTCTGTGATAGATGTGTTATGTTAAACCAGGAATTTTTTAAAAACCCATCCAGCCAGGTCTTTGTTGGTCTTCCTCTTGATTTGAAGCCGGATTCTCGGGTGTTGTAAGCTCTAGCCCGCTAGTCGTTTCTGTGGCATTCTGGTTAGATATCCAAACCATTTGACTCTTTGACGCTCTATGAATGTTATTACTTGTAGTATTCCAGTTTAAAGACGCATGGTTTCGTTTCTTATGCGGTCTCTTCTGGTGACGTTGATGGTTTTGTGGAGACACCTCATTTCACATGCATTGATTTTTCTTTCTTGTGCCTCGTTTAGAGACCATGTTTGGCATCGGTATGTTAATGTTGGTATGAAGATATTGTTGATGAGATGTGATATCACTTCGGTAGGGATGTTCTTGTCACTGAGCAGGGGTGCTAGCTGTTAGGTCACTGCATTTGCCTTCATATATCATAGTTCTTGTTTCTATTTCTTTGTCCACACGCCCATCTTGTATGAAGATGCTTCCCAAATATTTAAATTCCTCTACTTGTTGGAGCTGTGTCACCTTCATAACTTCTGTTTTTGAGATGGAGGTTTTAATGTTCATGTAGTTTTGTGGTGTGTTTTTGTAATTCCTCTTCATTTCTATTTGATACACTCTGGTCATCAGCAAATAGAAGCTCGTTCAGTTCATTGATATTGTCATTTGCTGCTTTTGTGATCTTATCCATGTAAGTGAGGAAGAGAAGCGGAGAGAGAACACACTCTTGTCTCACCCAGACCTGAAGGGGAACCACTCCGACAGTCCTTATGTTGATATTACGGCACACAGGCTGTTTTTATAATAAAGTGCCATGAAGTTCTCCAGCAATTGTCCTCTTACACCATATTCCTCTAAGACTTCCCAAAGTTGACATCTATCTACCCCGTCAAACGCCTTTTCCTGATCCACGAAGACGATATCGAGGTCTTTGTCCTGTACAATGGCAGTCTCACACAACTGTCTTAATGCAAAAATAGAGTCAGTACAGCCCCTGCCTTTTCTGAAGCTAAAATGGGATTGAGTTGAATCTCTACAATTGGTCTCATTCTCATTTCCAGTATGTTGGCAAACATTTTGCCCACATAGCTGAGATGAGATATTCCTCTGTAGATCCCACAGTCTCTTTTGTTACCTTTCTTTTTCCAAATAGGTACAATGACAGCTCGTTGCCAGTCATCGGGTGTTGTTTTTGTAGCCCATGCCAGGTTAAATATCCTCCTCAGCCAGAGTTCACGATATGTCGCACAGCTTGATCTCTTCTACTGTGATGCTATCAACGCCTGGCGCTTTGTTTGTTGGGGTTTTTTTTTTTT